GTGTGGGGGCAGAGCCAGCAGTCATGGTCCGTGTTGGCACAACTGATGTGGGGAAATGTGGTTGGGAGGTCCTAAAATCCAAGTTGAGGCTGCTGGGGAGAATGTTGAAATCCAGGACCACCAAGGGGGCTTTCTCTGGAATGCTACCATTTCTATATGCAGGGTCAGTCTGAAGGTGCAGCTGAGGAGCCTCAGTGCATGGATATAGAACTGGTGTAAAGAGGAGGGCTTCATCTTTGGTAGACACTGGGAAACATTTTGGAACAAACTGGGCCTGTACAGGAGGGATGGGCTACACATGAATCACAATGAAACAAGACTGCTAGCATGTAACATAAAAAAGGTGGCAGAGCAGCTTTTAAACTAAATCCTGTGGGAAAGCTGGCAGGATCTAGGAAGCATCTGGTTTGAATCAACTTATACTTAGAGGATAAGGGAGGGAGTTCCAGATTGCCCGAGTACGGCAAGAGAGGAAATGGACAGCAAGGTAACGACAAGGCATTATACTCAGAGAGGACAAAATGCCAGAACAAGTGGACGCAGAAGGAAGGGGATACAGTGCTTAGGTGGTTCTATACAAATACCAGAAAATGGGAGAGTCGGAGTGCATGACAATAAGAGAGAAGCTAGAAATGGGCATTATGGAAACATGGTGGAGCAGACATAACCAATGGGATATGGTCATCCCTGGATATAAACTGTATAGAAAGGACAGGGAAGGGAAAAACAGAGTAGGCATCGCCTTCTACATTAAAGAGGGCATTGAGTCCAGCAGGCTCAAAAAGTGAAACTGTGAAGACTTCTCCATAGAGGCACTCTGGGTGAAAATTCCTGGAAACAAAATAATTCACTCTTGGGGGTATGTTGCTGCCCTCCAGACCAGAATGCTGAGGGTGATCTTGAGATGAGAAATGAAATCAGGGAGGTCTCCAACAAAGGCAGTATTGTAATAAAGGGTGACTTCCACTGGATCTTGACTGGATAGATATACCTTCCAGTTCTGCTGTGTTAAATACCTTGATGTCCCTAACAACTGTGCTCTGGAGCAGTTATAGTCATGGAACCAACCAGAGGGGAGGTAATTCTGGATTTAGTCCATTTGCACTTTTCAAAAGAAGAATTTCCCAAGATTAAGGAAAATGGTTAAGCAGACACTGAGTAAGGGAATCAAGAAAATATATTTGCTTCATAATGCTCAAAATATACCATATTAGAGGCACAGAGAATATGCATACCACAAGGAGGAAAGGGAGTGCAAAGTCCAGGAAATCACCAACTTGGTTAAAGAGTAGAGTCAAGGAAGCTGTCAGGGAGAAAAGGCTTCCTTCAAGGGTTGGAAGTCTTGTTCAAATGAAAAGAATAGAAAAGACCACAAGACTGAACAAGGGAGATGTAAGCAAACAGAGAAGCAAGGAAGCAATATGAGGAACATACCACTAATAGCATCAAGGCCAATAATAAATAATTATGTAAATATATCAAAGGCAGAAAAGCAGCTAGAGAAGCAGTTGGACAATTTGACAATAATGGAAATCAAGGTGCACTGCGGGGTGGACAGGAGATTATAGAGAAGCCCAATGAATTCTTCAGTCTTCACAACAGAGGATGCAAAGCACATACCTGTCCTTGAGCTTATGTATTCTGGAGGGAAGTCTGAGGAATTAAGGCAGGTACTAAAGACCAAGGATGAAGTTCTTAACCTTATTGACAGTCTGAATGTCAGCAGATCACTTGGTCCAGACAAATCACCTAGTCTCTGATCCATCCTAGAGCCTGTAAAGAAATAAAACATTAAAACCTTCTTACCAAAACATTTACTATGTCCCTGGAAACAGCCATTGCACTAGAGGATTGGAAAATGACCAGTGTGGGACCAATTTTTTAAAAGGGATCCAGAGGATATCTGGGAGATTACAGGCCAGTTAGTTTAACATCTGTTCTGGGTAAACTGCTTTGAAAGCATCATCAAAGACAGAATCAGTAAACATACAGAGGGACAATCTCTGATGAGAAAAGGTCAGCATGATTTCCGCGAGGGGAAGTCTTGTCTCACAAACCTATTGGAGTTTTTGGAGGGTGTCAACATGCACGTAGACAGGGTGATCCAGTAGACATTGTTTGCTTGGGCTTCCCAAAGGCTTTTGATAGAGCCCTTCACCAAGGCTTCTGAGCAAGCGAGCAGTCACAGAATAAAAGTGGAAGTCCCCTTACGGAGCACAAACTGGTGAGAGAAGACAAGACAGAAAGAGAGAATAAATGGTAATTTCTCCAATGGAGAGATCTCACCAGTGGAGTCCTGTGGGGTTCTGCATTGGAACCATTTTTTCAACCTATTTGTAAATGATTTGGAATTAGGAGTAAGTAGCAAGGTGGCCAAGCTTGCCAATGACACCAAAATATTTTGAATGGTCAAAACCATAAGAGATTGTGAGGAGCTCCACAGGGATCTCACCAAGCTGGGAAAATAAACATCAAAATGGCAAATGCCACTCAGTCTAAGTAAGTGTAAAGTAATGTGAAGTTGGGACAATAAAGCCCAAATACAGTACACACTGATAGGATTGGAACTAGCAGTGACAGAGCAAGAAAGGGATCTTGTGAAAGTAGTAGATAGCTCCATGAAAATGTCAGCCCAGTGCACAGCTGCTATGAACAGGCAAATTCCATGCTAGGCATAATTAGGAACAAACAGAAAACAGAACTGCCAACATCTTACTCCCCTTTTACAAATCCTTGGTATGACTGCACTGTTGTGTATTGCGTTCAGTTCTGGTTGCCTCACCTGAATAAGGACATTCTTGAATTGGAAAAAATACAAAGGATGGCAATGAAAATGATCAAGGGGCTGGAGCATCTCCCCTATGAGGAGGGACTGCAAAAACTGGAAATGTTTATCTAGGAAAAGAGGCTAGTAAGGGGAATGGAGAAGATGGGAGAAGAAGACATTTTTCACTCTCTCCCATAGCACTCAAACCCAGGGCCATCCTATGAAGCTGATTGGGGCAAGGTTTGGAAGAGAAAAGAGAAAGTATTTCTTCACACAGCATACAGTTAAAATACAGAATTCATTTGTGCCATGGGAGGTAGTGATGGCACAACACTAGATGGCTTTAAAAAGGTATTGGACAGTTTCATGAAGTAGAGACTCTAGTGGCTATTAGCATTACCACCAGAAGCGGCAGGCCTGCATACACCAATTGCTGAGGAGCTCAGGCACGTGGAGGTCTTGCTTGGGCAATCCTGGAAGCAATCGGTTGCCTTTGTGTGTTCAGAATGCTGGACTAGATGGACCTTTTATCTGATCCAGCATGGCTTTTCTTGTGCTTCTGTGAAGGTAGTGAATCCTGGCACAGATGCTCTGAAGGAGGTCTGAGAAAGCCAAGAGGTTCATGGGAGCAGATGGTCATTCAAGATACCCCTGTCCCAAATCATGGCTAGGCAGAGTTTATTATTCCAGGTGAACATAGTTCTTGGCTAGCACTTTCTGTGCTATGAAAACTTCACTGCAATTCTCAGAACTCTTAAGAGGGTCATATTTCACATTCCATGAAATTGGGACATTGTATTTACTGTTTTTCTTCTAAGCTATTAGTGTGTGTCCCCTGATCAAACAACCCCTGATGTCATCACATCAGTCTAAGAAATTATTACAACATTATTTTAAGATTCTCTAAACTGGCCTGAATGTCCCAATGTCAGGACATTTTTCCAAAATTAGCAACCTGCTCAGTGTAAAGAAGAAAATAGAAGTTTCCACTAGATTTCAAGCATGGTGGAAAAGGAGAAGAAGCAGTTTTGATGTACAATGGGAAAAGGTGGTATGGGGCATTGCACAAGGTATAATATTTAGATGCAAGACCTCTTGGTGGAAGTTCCACATCTGACCCTGAGATCCTCCTTGGGTTCTTCCTGCAAGCAGTTCGTGACTTCTAAGACCCTTCCCCTGGAGGACTCCTCGCTGATTTCCCCCATCTCAGATCAGAGATAATAGTGGGGATGCAGGAGGCAGGGAGCTTAGGTGGTTCTGGGAAGAGCAGTTGCTTTTCCTAGTGTTGGATGAGTAGCTACATACTACATGGAGTGGCACCACACCCGTGGAAAAGACATGTGCTGCATGGAACGAGGGACTCTGGCAATGCTGGAATCAGTGGCTGCTCCAGCATCTAATGCTCAGTGCTCAGGAACCCAGTTATTGGAGCCCTAGGAGAACTTTGAGTGGCTTGCTATTTGAATTTGGTGTGTGTGTGTGTGTGTGTGCGCGCGCGCACGCATGTGCATGCGCGTCAGGATGTGTGTGCGGCACTGTCTCTTGGCATGGCAAAGTACTGCCAGATAGCAGTTCTAATGTTTAGAATGATCAGCTAGGGAATGAAGATGGTTTTTTTCCTAAGAGCTATTGGAGAAACAGCATTTGGTAATAAGAAAGAAATGGAAGGAGAAAGGGGGTCTCCAATTAATTGAATGGCACAAAGAAGTTTGGCATATAGTGCCTAATGACAAGTTGACCTGTGAGATAAGGGTGAAAAAAAGGATTGGCAAAGAAGAATGATTTTAATAATATCACTTGTTATGTTGTATTTTGTTTTATGTATTTGTTGCTTACGGTTGTAAGCTGTCCTGGAACATTTTGTAAAGGACAGGGTATAAATATTGTTAATAAATAAATAATATATGGGGTATGTTGATTGAATATGTATTAATAAAAGGGGAGGATGTATTGCAATTATGGTTGGAACAGATTATCTTGGCAAGAGTGGAAAAATGGGGTGGGGGAAGGCAGCCATTGTCCCGGTGGAGGGGTGCACTAAGGGTGATTCCTTTTTTTAAAAAAACTAGATGTTGTGTATCAAGTGCTCTTTTTTCCTTTATTACATGATTTTTGTATTTGCATTTGTTTAATATTTAAATACAAAATAAAAAAAGGAAAAACAGCATTTTGAAGTGAGAGGCAATATTTCCAAAATTATTGACCTTGCTGCCAAACCTTGAATTATTTACAGAACATGAGTGAAAAACTGAATGACTGCTTGGAGGATATGGTGACTATCAAGACGGAACCCTGCTCCCCGTGCCAGGGAGAGGAATATGGACAACTTTGGTAAGGGTATATGCAACAACTTTCTGGGATTCCTTTCCATATTAATAATGTCTACCTAGGAAGGTCTGCTCATTTTCCATGACCTCCCTATGTGTTGTAGAGAGTTCCGAGACATATTTTAGGCTGCGGGTTTACTTTAAGTATGGTTCAAGACAGCTTGTTGGGCTCAGGAGAACTTTCTGTGCAGATGGAACAGGCACCTTAAAACACAACAGTTGCCTTTTTCTGTGGAACAGATTTGCGTAAGAATATTTGTTTCTTTGCGTAAGAATATTGATAATGCTAAACTGATCCATTCCTGACTTTTCTCATTAAGGAACTCACAGCAACCTTCTAAGAAACTCCACAGTTCTTGGAGCACAGTTTAAAACCCACTGAGCTGTGAAGATGCACATATGGAGCCTCCAAACTTGGAGGTTCTTGCTTATCCTGTGCAGAGAGAGAGAGGAGCATGGAGTGAAGGGCAGGGATTGCTGTGCCTCATGTCTGCCTGTGTCTCATGTCCCACCAGCAGGCAAACCCCCTTGGGTTGGGTTGGTATCATGGTATAACTGAGAGCACAGGTCATTGTATGACTGTGCTGTGAGTGGATGCCAGGTCATCCCTGTGTCCTGGATCCCAGCTAAGGAGTGAACATCCCTACAGCTCAACTCAAGATTACAGGAGTACTATTTTAATTTGTCATATTACTTTATTGATTTGATTTGTACCCTGCTCTTTTCCAAAAATTGCACTCAAGGCGGCTTAGAATCACAAATAAACCTTCTAAAACAATAATCAAACACATTTAAACATAGTTTAAAACAATTACAAATGTTAGCTGTGGGCAAAAAGCTTAAAAAAACTGATTATTAAATGAACTTGTGAAAGTGTTGAAAACTTCTTAAATATTTGTACTTTATTGCCACCATTTTTTCTTTCTTTAAATTGCAGTGCTTTATCATTGTGTTTTGCTCAATCTGCACCCTGTACCAAGGCTGTTTACTTCTCCTAATCCTGGTATCACCATTTGGGTTAATCTGTGGTGTTAAGCATTGCAGAGGGAGAGGGAAGACTATTTGTACCTAAGAAACTGAGTGCAATGTCAATGGGAGGGGAGCACAGAAATCATTTTCCAGTGGGCTTGCCTACATGAGGCTGTTAATCCACTGTATCTACTTTATATTTAATTTAATTTATCATGCAGCTATATTTTCAGGGTGCTTTATTTCCAGAATTGAGATCCAAGCATTCACAAACCTCATTTCGTGTTCTGCCACATAACATTCAGGTGGCACTGTGATTTAGTGAAATAGTGCAATTTAGTGAAATAGTGTAGTTGTACACATGTGAAAGGGATTTTCTTTAGCTTTAATAAAATAATACTGCATATTTCCCACTCTAAAGGAAAAAGAAAGGTTGGAAGTGCTGTTTAAGAAAAGAAGTGAAACTCAAGGGTCATTTTGTCATTTAAAACGTATGAGTAAGGTCCAATATATGCCTTGTGTAGATAATCTCTGAAACAGGGAGAGGGAGTATGGGGTAGAATGTTCAGTTAGTTGCCTAATCACAATCAGGTCCAAAATAAATGATATTTTGGGTCAGTAAAATGGAAAGGTTCCAGGGCCTGGTTCATTGGACCCCTCAACAGCTCCTGTTGGTAGGGCCCTCAGGGGATACCTCCACCTTCCCTTTATTTTTCTCATCATGCATCAACCATTTGCCAAAAGCAGCTAAAGGATGGTCTGTTAGACAGCCATCTCTGATGCTTGTAACTACTGTTTTAATTCACCTACAGTGCCTCTGGGACCCGTCAGCCAAAGCTGTGGAGTGATGCACCATCATGACCCCAGAAATTTTGGGAGGGAGTTAAAATGACAGGCAGAAGCAACCGTTCTTGCAGCTACCAGACCAGGCTTTTTTCTGCTGTTTGTACACAGTGGGGGGGAAAGGTAGCAATGGGACAGGAGGTTTAGGCGATTGACAGATGTCAATGCAATGGACTTTGGTCATTGACAGAGGTCCAGCCCTTCCAGTCCTTCATGCCAGGACTGCACAGTTCCCTTAGGTCATTCACCTTAAAAGGTACACACACGGGGCACTGCTGCCCCTAAAGACAGTGCAGGGATTACTGCTTGGGGGTGAATCATAGTGTTCTCTGTAGGTTACTTGGAACTCGGAAATATTTTGAAAGAAACACAGTTACTGTTAAAGTAACACCCAATTTGATTATGAGGTGCTCAAAAACTTATTTCTATCTGGAGGTTTAAAGAAGAATGCACTTTATTGTTTTTCTTTGCCCTTCCCAGCAGCTTATCATACTCTTAGATCCCATTTATTTTGTTTTCTTGACAGCTCTGGAAAAATTGACTCCCAATCTGTGGACGTGGAGCCTAAAAAGCTGAAAGGAAAGCAGGATTTGGTCATGTCCAAGAGTTTTCAGCAAGTGGATTTCTGGTGTAAGTTTCTCATTGCTGGAAGAGTGGTCAGTTGGAGCCCTGCCATTGCCACCTGCAAAGTGCCCTCTTTTCAAATACTGGAGTGCCATTCATGTACTACAGGCAATTTTAGAGATATGCAACTATAGCAGTGCTGGAAGACAGAAGTTCCAAACCTGAGATTGAACAGGGACTGTTGATGGGCAGACGTAGTCCACTTCTGGCTTAGATTTAGATGCCTGCTCTACACCCTGTGTGCTGCATTTGTCCTTTAATCCTTAGATGTAATACTAGCTGACATGAAGAGAAATATGCTCTAATCTTTCCAGGGAACAGCAGAGCCCTGCCCTGAAGTAGCTAAATATACTTTATTAGGAGGGTTATAATGCAATACCTAATGTAACTAGCCTTTATTTTAGTTTGTAAAATAGTCCTATTCTCTCTGGTATCCAATATCTGTCTTTCTCTGGAAGTTCTGGTGGGTTCTTGGCAGGAATACGTCCTACAAAACTTCCTGACTGTTAGAGCAGAACAGCAATTGAACCAGTTACCAAGGGAAGTAGTGGGCTCTCCCAGTCTGGAGGCATTCGAGAGGCAGCGAACAACCATCTGTGAGGGATGCTTTAACTTGGAATCCTGCACTGAGCAGGGGGTTGGACTTGATGGTCTTATAGGCCCCCTCCAACTCTGTTATTCTGTGATTCTGCCAAGAGTAAAGGACATGGGATTTTAAGCATATGATATGCACTTCACTCTAAGATTCCTTCTCAAACTTGTCACATTGGAAAACCAGTGGTCTGTAGCTTGCCCAGTGGGTGGGAGGGCACAAAGGGAAGAAGGCATTCCTTCAGGTATCCCAGACCCAAGCCATATAGGACTTCATAGGTCATCACTAGCACCTTAAATTGGGCCCAGACGTCAATTGACAGCTAGTATAACCTATAGAGGACTGGCCAATCTGCATTAACATTCTGGCAGCTCTATTCTGAACCAATTGAAGTATTCAGACCAACTTCAAGGGCAGACCCACATATAGTGCATTACAATAATCCAACCAGGAAGTTACCAGAGCGTGGGTCACCATTGCAAGGCAATACTCATTCAGGTAAGGACACGGTGTATCAGCTGAAGCTGAAGGAAAGCACTCCTTGCCATTGCTGCCACCTGAGACTCCAAGGACAGCTCTGGGTCAAGGAGCACTCCCAAACTGCAAACCCCTTGTCTTTTAGAGGGAGTTCAACCCTGTCCAGGACAGGGCTGAAATCACTTGCCTGGAAGGACCAACAGGACCTAATAAGCAATGTATCCTGTGGAAACTATGTACTGGGTTCTATCCTTCCAGCCTCCATCTAACACTTAAAGTCTTTATTTTGATTTATAGTTCACCTTTTCTAAAAGGCTTCAATGTAGTGATTTCATTTTTAGCAAGTATGTCATGTCATACCCCAGTGATGCCCATAGGCTGGCCTTGTCTTGTATCTCGAGCATCTGTTGGCTCTTAAAGAGATGGATAACAAAATACATAACAAGGATGGGCAACTTGTGGCCCTCCAGACATTTTTGGGCTGCTGTTCCCTTCATCACTCACTACTAAATACGCTTGCTAGGACTGATGAGAATTGTTCTTCAAGAGCTTTTGAAGGGCCCGATGTTCCCCATCTGTACCAAATAGGCTGGCTGAAAACCCTTCTACACCTTCATTTCCTGGTCAGATGAGTTGGTACAGCTCATCAACAGTTCCTAAAGATTGTTGGCTGTAGTTTAGAGGGGGAAAGTGCAAGGAACATGGCAACTGTCATGCTGGTGCATACCCAAAAGCCTATTTCCACTTTAAGAACGTTAAGTGCTAGATCAGACCAAAGGCCTATCTAATCCAGCATTCTGTTCATACAGTAACCAATCAAGTAGGTTGTGGGAGACCCCAAGCAGGACAGGAGTGCAATAAATAACATCCTTCTTCTCATGTTTTCCAAGAACTGGTACTGAGAGACATACTGCCTCTGATGTTGGGAGTTCATATAAAGCCATCTTGACCAGTAGCCATATTAAGAGCTATATTTTTCATGAATGTATCCAATTCCCTTTAAAGTTCTGTACATTGATGGCCATCACTGTGCTGTATGCACGTCCTTTTACCTGTCTTAAGTCTCCTTCCATTCATCCTCATGGGTTGACCCTGGGTTTTAGTACACCGACCCTGCCCATTTTCTCTTCATGTAGATGGTAATGCACCTTTATCATGCCCCCATTTATTATGTCACCTTTTTTCTAAGCTAAACAGTTCCACACATTACAGTCTTTCCCCACAGGGGACTTGCTCCAGCCCTTTAATCATTTTTGGCTTCTCTTTCCTGAAACTTTGCTATATCCACTATATTTTGTTGAGTGTGATGATCAAAACTGTACAACCTATTTCAAGTTTGGTCACAAATTTATACCATAGATTGGTATAAACGTACTCCATTATCAATAGGGAAAAGCAGTACAGCTTAATTTGTGGAGGAAGTGATAGGAGCTTACTCTTGCTCTGGGTGGGCTTAGGTCACACTCTCCAACAGGGTGCCCTCCCAATGGGAAAAGATCTGGGGAATGCCAGGTTGAGGAAATCTGAGATGATGCACAGTTCTTTTCAGTTCTACAATTCTGTGAATTATGCCTTCATTCCAAAAATGATATTTTGCTTTCTCTGTGTTGAAGCTAAGTGGAAATTACATTTTTCTGGTCTAAGTTTGGGATTGCACAAAGCCATTTTCCCAAGACAATGTGCTGCATAGCTTTGAGATTAAAAAACAGCTGCCACAAAAAGAACTTCTGCTAAGCTTGCAAGTTTGATGGCATGAGAAAAACTCTCAGCACCCTGAGAAGTTTTGATGTGAAATCAACTTATGAAAAATCACCTGTGCCCTTATTGATGACACTGTCAGCATTTTGTGATGCAGAGTAATTCTTGTTTTCTCCTCCTCCTCCTCCTCCTCCTCCAGTCTGTGAGTCCTGCCAGGAGTATTTTGTGGATGAATGTCCAAACCATGGCCCACCTGTGTTTGTGTCAGATGCTCCGGTACCCATTGGCATCCCTGACCGAGCTGCACTGACCATCCCACCTGGCATGGAAGTAGTGAAAGAACCCAGTGGGGAGCGAGATGTGCGCTGTGTGAGTGAGGTTATCCCTAAAGGTCGAATCTTTGGACCATATGAAGGGAAGCTCTCCAGTCAAGACAAATCAGCAGGCTTCTTCTCTTGGCTGGTAAGTAGGATAACCATGTTCCCAGCAGCATAACTCTTGGAAGCAACTGGTGAGGCAAAGGATGCAATTCTTTGCAAATTTGGACAGAAAAAGGCCTACAGCCCCCAGCATTTCCTGTCTGGCATGGCTGGCTAGGGAATGCTAGAACTTGTAGCACGTTCCTCTGGCTAAACATGCAAATCATAGGACCTTCATGCTCTCAAACTTATGCTAAGAATATAAGTACCTGTAGCTTAGTTTCAAGAGATGCTCTTCCTGTTAACAGGCAGGAGAAGTTTAAACTGTGGACTGGAAAAGAATGCTTAGACATCTAGTGCAAAATTGTCGTACTATAAAGCCCTGAACGGCTTGGGTCCTGGTTACCTGAAGGAGCGCTTACATCCATATATGCCCAGCCACCCCTTGAGATCAGCGGGAGAGGCCCTTCTCCGAGAGCCCCCCGTGAGAGAAATTAGGAGGGTGGCTTCTCGGAGGAGGGCTTTCTCAGCGGTGGCGCCTAAGTTATGGAATGTGCTCCCTAGAGAGGTCCGCCTGGCGCCGTCGTTATTTGCTTTTCGGCGCCAGGCGAAGACCTTTTTATTTAAGCGGTATTTTAACTGTTAATATTATTTGATCTTATCTGGCCAGGGCGGCTTATTTTATATTGTATTTTTTGGATTTTTAATGTTTATATGTGTTGCGATCTATTTTATAATTGCTTTTATTTATTGTTTGTAAGCTGCCCCGAGGCTTCGGCGAATGGGGCGGCATAAAAATGTTTTAATAAATAAATAAAATAAATAAAGAAGCATACTTGAATCATTTGCTAGAAGTAAACATTTCTATAGGCTGTTCTCCAGCCTTTCCCTAAGCTTGATTGGCCAGGCTGTCCAGGAGACAATTAGGAGTTGGTGCCCTAGAAGTGAGGCATTAATTATTCCATTTCCTTGCACTTTTGTTTTTTCAGATTGTTGATAAGAACAACCGCTACAAATCCATAGATGGGACAGATGAGACTACATCAAACTGGATGAGGTAAGTTGATCACTTGTCTATTAATTTCCCTTCTTTAATGGTATTTCTGGCCTAGAGAATGAACAAAAACTTCTCTTGTGGTTAACCCTTTAGAAATTACTATTCCTGTCTGAAACTTTTGATTCCTTGTTTTATTCTTTATTCCTACCAGAGGCACTCTTTTGCTTCTCCATTGAGTAGCAGGGTTTCAGTTGAGGAAGGAGAGGAACCGGGGTTATCACTTAGTCACCTCTTCCAAACTGGTTCTCTGACACTCTTTATTTTACTATTCCAATGTTTTAAAACAACTTTTCTTTAAAAAAAAAAAAAGTTATATTTTGGCTAATTATGAGAAAACGTTTCTGTGGGAACGCCTACAAATTTTGTTTGGTTTTGTTTGTTTGTTTGTTTAGAGTTGTTTGCTGCTTTGCTAATCATAATGGTACAATCAGGAGATAGAATTTATCAGTTGGGGTGCTCCTGCAAAATAAGAAAGATCCACAATTTTCATTTTTAAAAGTTCTCTTATTATTTGTTGCTGGCTTTGCAAAAACTCTCATATGCTTCTACTTTATTTACATTCCTTTGCCACCCTGATCGACAGATCAGTCAATAGGGACACGCTGTTCATTCATTTCCCAAAGCAGAGCTTTTGTGGCAGTCTATCCATGCATGTGTATGTGAGTTTGTGTGTGTTGCAGACAAATTGTGATTCAACAGCAACAGAACTGAAAACACACTGAAGATACTATGAATGGCATTGGATTTTTCCCATTTGACAATGCTATAGATAATAAATGATTTGGTAGCTGAAGCCCACATATCCTTGATGCTCTCTGATTGATGGCATTCTATAAATATGCTTAAAAAGATATAGTTTGAGAGTTGATATCCTAATGCATAGAGAAATCCAAATAGGTCATTGTGTATGCTATTAGCAAATGTTGGATAGGGTTACACATTTTTATGCCAAACAGCTCCTTGTGATTAAGGCTATAGTTCTATCTATATTTACTTGGGGCTAAATCCCATTGAACTTGGTTTGACTTAATTCTGAGTGAACAAGTGTAGGGTTGGGCTACAGGTTTGATAGCTGTAGACTGAAATACGAGGATGTTATTGGTTGGTCAGTCAAGAGAGTACTTCTCAGGTGTAAGAAAGTCTGTCTGTATGTTGTGTTTTGCTTTTCTCCTAAAGTGTACATGACTTCATTGTTTTGTAGATGAATGAAGAAGGAGCAAAAAGGAAAAATTACTTTAGCTGGGAAATTTGGCTTGTCAAAACCAGTGCATCTCAGATGTTAACAAGTTGGTTGTGTACTGTGTGTCATACTTTGGAGTGCTTCTGTTCAGAGTTGCAGTCAGCCATCCATGCCGTCTTCCAGGATGCTCTATTCAATATTTGCTTGGTTTTAGTCCTCACCACCAGCAGATAGTCAGCATTCTGCATAATGCTCAGCCCTCCACCACGCTGTTTTCAGTTGCCTTGGTTTAGGTTTTATTTATGCTTTTTCTCTGAACATGTTTGCCCTTTTGCAAACCTCAGGGCTCCTCCTAACCCCCTTATATTTCTTGCTTGTGCAGAAATGGTGCTGTGCCATCGGGCCCACAAATGGATCAGTCCTCAGGGAATGAGCAGTTTTTAATGCATATAAGGACCATATGCGATATGCTGACGTGTTTTAGTGCCACGAAGCATCTGTGTCATCAGAACTTTAGAGAAGATTTCCCCCACTGGGTTACTTCTGGATGTGTTAGGCTACAGGCAGCTTTGCCTTGATGGATAAGAATGTTGGGAGTTCCAGTCCAAGACATTCAGAAGGCAGCAGGCTGGGGAAGAGTGTAGTAGTGTATGAAAGTGTTTTAACACTCTGAGTGCTTAGGTTGTCTGTTCAGAAATGTTCTCTTGTAACTGGCTATACCTTCCTTTCCTGGGTTCAGCATTGTTCCTTGCCTTCGAGAAGTGCATATGTTGCTGCTTCTGCAGAGGAATTGAAAGACATTAAGTCCCTCTTGGAGGGTGGGGGAAGGAGGCAGTGCTTGTTTATGCCACAGCTACAGACCTTTTGTTGTGTTTTACCTCCCTACCTCATTAAGGAGTGGGGAAATGTCCTATGGCAGTTTAGCAAAGGTGAATCAAAAGGCCTTAGAAGTGCACTGTGAACACTGGTGTTATAGCTAAGATTAGAAGTGTCAGAATACAGAATGTAGATCCTTTACAGTAGATTTCCAAAAGACTCTAGAGTGAAAGTACTGATCATATGAGTAAATACACATGGTATGTTTTCCTGTGATTAATTTATCTTGTACCACCTTGCTTGCCTGTTTTTGGGGAACCTCTTACACCTGATGGAAATATAGGAAATATACCTGGCACATTATGGACCTAATAGGTGTGACACCATGTGCTTCATAACGTGTGTTTTGCTAAGTTCTTGGCCATATGTATGGGAAGTGCCATTTGGGTCTAGGGAGTGAAAAAATAGGCACTTTGCAAGTTACAGAATACAACACAGTTATCTGCTAATTTCAAACAGTGTGAAGTGGCCCTTAGATAGCAGGTGCAAGATGGAAGTTTTGGTTTTCACCCTATGTCATTTATGAAAATACCGTGGAAGAACATCCTGGGAATAATCTGCAGTGAGGTCCTCACAGGTGCTTTCACAAAATTGCCCACCTCTTCCCTCTCAAGCTGAATCCACTGGGGGTTCTTTACAGCATCTCACAGCATTCTTGTGCCTCTTCTGTCTATTAAAACCCTCTTGTTTTGAAAAAAGATGGTATCTGCAATACAAAAATAATAACCAAAGAGAACTATGCTGCAAAATTCTCTGTAGGAAACCCCAAATAATTTGCAGACTTCAATTTTTCAGTAGTCTTCTTTAACCCATTGAAGTCTCTTGAGTCATGGCCAGGTGCTATGGGCCATTTTTAAATTAGCCCATGTAATTGTAAACGCCTAGCATTGATTTTGTTTCAAAGAGTATTTTGGTCTTGTTTGGTTTCTTGTTCAAGAATGATTAAGTCACTCAGCTTGCACAGAGCTTCCAAATACCTGTTTGTAGGTGCAAAGGTTACATCTGCTACAAACAGAACATGGTACAGGGTGTGTTTGTGACTCTTTTCTCCCAACTTTGATAAGTTATTTAAAAGCAAATATCTGACACATTCTATATTTAGTGAAAAATGGAAAGTTTTATGTTGAATAGAGGAGAAGAACCTCATCAAGCTGGGAGTGAATGCTCAACTGGTCGTTTTTCTTGGTTGCAATAGTGTGGCTACTTCACATTGATTTCCTTTTACCCGTTTATACTTTGTGGGATATTGAATTCAAGGAACATGACTGAACGAAAGAGGAAGCCCAAGTTCTCCAGGGAGGAGCTGGACATTCTGGTCACTGAAGTGACTCGGAACGAAGCCAGGCTGTTTGGAAGGGAGACAATACGTCTATCCCATGCAGACAGGGACAAGATCTGGGAAGGGATAGCAAGAAAAATCACATCGGTGAGCCAGGTCCCCAGGTCTGTGAAAGATATTAAGCACAGATGGGACGACATGAAGAGAAGGACCAAAGACAAACTGGCCTTCATGCAGAGGTCCCTCTCCAGTCCCAGCAGCCCGGGGAGGCCCTCGGCCATTGTCCTGACCGCCCACGAGAGAGCCATCGAGTCGACGCTGCATTCGTCATGCCAGATACACGGCTTCCGGAGAGCGGATCTGGACGTGGTTGACAGCCCATCAACCAGCTGTAAGTATTACTTCTCCTCCTCTGTCCCCTGCTGCCCACAATCGTTCTGACAAAAAACTGTATGGTGCAAAAGGTCGTCCTTGCCTTCTAATGAAGCCATTCCCTCTGGCTAGTGTTCCTGTGTGTGCTTGGTGCTTTCTGCCCTGTTGCCTTCCTTGCTCCCAATTCATGAACCAATTATGTGCAACTGCACCTTGAAGGACATTTATGAGCTCTGATCCTTTGGAATAGTTAGCACAGCGTGTAGATAATTTGACTGTTCCCATGGTATGGAACAGCAAATGTGATGAGTACTCTGCCTTCCCTCTCTCTCTTTCCCTCACACACACACACACACACACACACACACAGAGAGAGAGAGAGAGAGAGAGAGAGAGAGAGAGAGAGAGAGAGAGATCCTCTCATCCCATCTCAAGGAAGAAAGGAAGTCTGAACCAAGACTACTTCATCAATAAATCCAGCATATGGGTAACTAGAGTTTAGTTCAGACATGGTCTGTATTGGGTCAGTAGTGTACAAAGGAAATAACATATGGGTTTGCCTTATGCACAGGAGCACATAAGAGCAGACTCTAATCTCATTTCTCCTTTTAGATACCAGCATACAGAATGCAGCTGTATATGCCCAATTTATGTGGTACTGCCTATGTTTGCACTTCACCCCATGTGAAGAATTTCCACATGGCTCTTACTGCTCATGATGATGCTTGGGGTTTTCCTGCTTAAAGCATTTTATCTGCAAATGTTCAGCTGGATACACACTCAATCATGCATGGAGTAAATCCAGTGAAATCAGCAGGATGGGTCCTGACTATTTATTTCAGTGGGTTATTGTGGATCCATCCCTATGATATTCATTCAGACTTCACAAATGCATGATATGGACTGTTTCCATTGCTTTTGAGGAAACTAACAATTGGTTATAGCAGTTTATACTATGGTTCAAACCTGGGAAAAGTTTCAGAAGCTCATAGGCTGCACAGTCAGCAAGGTCCTCTGCAGTTGTCCCTGTGAGGTGGTGCAAGGGTTTTAAATCTCATTAAGAAATAGCATTACAATATGATGAAGCAAGGCAGAGGTCTATGGCTCATCACTTCATGTTCAACTCTAGATTGGACCACTAATAATTCTATATGCTGAACCCTGTAAAAGTTCTTGCCATAAATCTTCCACAGAAGTATAACCAGACTCCTCTTTGCTGCTTTTATTAGCCTGTATTTATGTGGAACTTGATACTCTAGATTATGTTTGATTGGGAGAAAGGACACAAAGCAT